GGTAGCCACCGTTTGAATTGTAACCCAGAGGGACGCAAACAACATCACCTGCAGGGGTCACCATCTCATACCAATGATCCTCATCATTCACTTCATCTGTTAGATCTGGACGGTCGAAGTGCGGATGAGACAGCTCGGAATTAAGCTGAGGGTCTGGCCGATACGCCATCATCATCAGCTCTGTATCTGACAGGAGCATCGAATTATAAGGAGAAGATCGGGAATCTGAAAGAATTCCTGGACGTTGAAGTACGGGCGAATCTGGGATCCATGGTTCATGCAGATGATGGGAGGATCCCACCATTGCGGAGTGAGGATGAGAGGATCCCACCATTGCGGAGTGAGGATGAGAGGATCCCACCATTGCGGAGTGAGGATGAGAGGATCCAACCAGTGGAAGATGGGATCCCATCAATGTAGAATGGGGTGGAGAAGCTTCCACCATCGAAGGATGGGATGCCAACAATGGAGAATGGGATCCCACCCAATGGAGAATGAAGATGAGACGGTCCCCATTGCTTGAGGATGGGGATGCGTGGATCTCACAGATGGAGGAGATGGTGGAGCAACAGTGACGGGTTGTCTGTAGAAGAGATCTGGATGTGCTCGGCCGGCAAACGCAAACGTCTCCGGAGTTGACATCCTTGACTGCAAAAACACGATTGGATGATTCAGAAGACACCAAAGAGATATTTCATGAAAGTTGGGATAGTTTTCTCACCTTCCGTGTAAATGACTTTTTCGACATTCCTTCAATCCTCAACCATGGATGCTTCAACATCTCCTGAGCAGTTGCACGTTTCGTTGGGTCTAACGCAAGCATTGGTAGGAGGAAATCAGCAAGATTTTCAGCCTCCCTGGGAGGAAGTTTGTATCTTTTCTGAAGGACACTAATCAATCCCCATGTATTTAAGTCATGAATATTCCTCAAATGGCCAGTCGAATCGAAAAACGTGGATCCATAGCGTCCAGAGTTGATGAGCCTCATGGGAATCGAACCAAGCAACTCAATAATCAGTGCAAGGTGGTCCTCATCGCGACTATAAGACTCCGACCCTTTCGGCTCAAATAGATAATCTCCAGTAATGAGTTCGAAAACAGTACACGCAAACGACCACATATCGGCTGAAGTATCGTATTCTGCACCGACAAGAACCTAAAAGACAAGCACAGATCATAATTGTTTCCTATTGATGCCTGAAGCCTTGATTCAAGCGACCTCTTGCTCTCACCTCAGGAGACCGATATTGGCGTGTTTGGATGTCAGCAGAGAAGTGTTTATCGATCCAACAACCATTACCGAGGTCAGCAATTTTATACTGACACTCATCACGAAGAAAATATGAAGTATCTGTCGCTCTGCAAAAGATAGATGATCATGAATCTATTGATAGGTACCTACCTCAATTCAACTGGGCCTTCAATCGTCATGACGGTCGATAATGTCGCTCTGTCCGGAACTGCTTCTTCTGACTCTTCCTTCTGCGGGGGTGTTCTAGATGTGCGACCATCGCGTCGAGTACTAAGAGGTGGCGTGACGTCCGCATGCAATGCTACATCTTCAACAGGCGTCTTTTCCGAAGGTTTGTTCTTTGAATCTTCCTCGTCCGAATCAAGATACGTTGTATATGGTAGCAAAAATGTCTCCCCTACTCCAGTTCGAAACTCATTCGGAAATTTCCGTCGATATGCTAAATAGTGATGAGGTGGTCTTGTATATAAGTATTCGTCATCGGCGATATTCCCACTTTTACAATAAGTAGACAACAAGTGCGGATCACTCCCACGTGGTTTCAACCGATGACGTACAAACGGCGGAGAGTTGGACTCCTTCCTTTTGTCATTTACTCCTTCCAACGTTCCCGTTTGTTCAGTTTTCTCGATACATTCTCGCTTCTTTCTATACTCTTCCTCTCTTTCGTTCATAGACTCTTCTTTAATTTGTCCTTCTTCTGTCTCGCTCGAATTACATTCCACATCTCTTTTTTCATCATTACCATCCAAACGCTTCCTCTTGATGCTGCTGCTTTCGTCTTCTTGGCTCACTTCTTCGATCTTTGCAAGTTTCGCTAATTTTTTTTTTCAGCCTTTTTTTCTGGCTCTTTGTTAACTTTTTTGGCTCTTCATTGTTTGAACTGACCACTGATGAACTTGGGACATCATCCTCCATTGGTATGCTTGGGATCCTACCCCTCAACGGAAGAATTTGGGGTTTCGTCTTCCATGGGTATGCTTGGGATCTCATTCTCGACTGACGAATTTGGGATTCCATCCTCCATCACCGCTGAGCCTGTTCTACTGCAATCTTCTTGGGACGACTCATCATCTGAATTAGCGTCCCCCATTTGGGTTCCTAATTTCTTTTGTTTCTTTTTAACCTTCTGCCGTCGCTTCCTCACTGAACAAACGCAGCAAATGCAAACGCAACAAATGCAGCAAATGCAAATGCAAACGCAGCAAATGCAAACGCAACAAATGCAACCGCAACACATGCAAACTCAACAGGTATAAAACCACAGAAGTTCTTGCTACATGCGTTCCATGCATAATACTGCCACTCTATTCCGCTCACATTTCGTTCTTAATCTTTTACGCTCTTGAGGATCAAGAGACGCCCAAAGCGTCGGATTGACATCTGAAACAAAATTTAACGTCTTTTCCCAACTCAAACATCGTGTGATCATCCGCGAGATGCTTTGGCGAAGACTGTGGGGATGAAATTCCAGTTTGCAAGGACGTCGATTTGGAGAGAAGTCCTCCGGTTGCCTGGTCTTTTGATGTGAGTGGGAGAGGAGGCGGAAGGGTCTGTCCTGTCACCAGAACATTTTCTGGTTTTAAATCGGTGTGAATGATCCCGCAGAAGCGATGAAGATAATCAAGACCGACCAACAAATGAGCCGCAATTTTACGAACAAGATCTATGGGAACCTAAAAAGACGAAGAACAATAGAACGACATATTTGGGACTGGATTACCCCATCGAAATTGTACTGCTTAATAAGGGATAAGAGATTCGGGCCCATTACTTCAAACACCATACAAACATGGGTGCCATTTGGACCGCAATGCTCAAAAAAAATCAATGAACCCTACAACCCCGTTATCCTGCGGCCGTCGATTTCCCAGAATCTATAAAAAAGATATATGAATCACATGAAAATATCTACAATATATATATAACATGAAGATATCTGAACAACATAAAGAGATCTTTGAAGACTCTTGAGATCGAGAAATAGACACATTTCGTCAATTCTCACCTCCAACTCCTCTAACTGTTCCGCCCCATTGAACAAGTTCGCTTCTTCTCCTCACGACAGTCAAAAGCTCAATTTCATCATATGCAGCCTCAGAATAATGTCGTGCAGATTTCTGGAATTTAATGGCTACATATTTGCATTCTGTTGACCTAAAAAGAAAATCAATCCCAAATCAAGATGAAATGTCCCAAATTCAAAGAACAAATAATGAAAATAGGGATCCTACCAATGCATCCCGTCAACTTACTTTAAATCGGTTGCAAGCCATACAGTCGAAAAATGTCCCCAGCCTAATTTCGCTTCAATTCGATATCTATGATTATATATTTCTCCAATCGTCACGGGATGGTATCCACCCTTTTTATAATCCCTCGTCCCTTCATCGTCACTTTCCGTGAAATCCTGCTCGCTCCCATCGTCTTGATTGGCGCTGCCGAAAAATTTCAATATTAGAAAATCATCAATCATCAATCATTCAATAATCATGATAATCATCAACGATGAGATATCATCATGATTCGATAATAATCATCACTACCCCGTTCGGATATATTTGCGATCATCCCTTCTCAATCTATCTAATTGAAGCTCTATTTATAATTGATATCTGTTTGTTGACAACTCTGTTATACACTTACGATGATCCCTCTGAGCCGCCACGATCAGACCGTCCAGAAGAAACTGAGCGACTTTCGATACTGCCATTGTCATCGAATGAATGGTTGTTCCCGACGTCGACTCCCGTCGGAGGAATAACTGTCAGGAGGACACGAGTAACTGTCACTTCGACGACTAGAGGTGCTGGAACTTCCAAGAGGACCTCTGGGACGCTGATGGCTTGTTGATCTGGGAGTGTATGAGGACTGATCATCACTCGGGGGGGGGCTAAAAGATGGCCGGCCCTCACGGGTAAAATCGGGACCATCATTGGAAAAAGAATAGTGAGGTTCAGGAAAGGCCGAAGAAGGCTTTTCGATGACACCGTTTTCATTCCTGACTGGACGGGTATTGAGAATTTCATAGTAACTGTCAGCATAGTACAGATTACTACTTCCTCGCGGGTCATGGAATTTTGGGACTGTCAACACTAGGGGGATGGACGCGAGGACGTTTGTGAGATCCTACAGCAGTCTCGGAGAATAAAGGATATCCATCAGGGAGAGGTGGAACGTTAGCAATTAACGGGTGCTCGTCTGCCAATTCTGGAGAACGTTGGGTTGGGGGAGGGTCCTTGAAGCATCGATAAGGGTTGGTACCGGAAACGCGGAGGCTGTGGACAACGCGTTGGACATCCATGAGACTCAGGCTTTGAGCCAAATTGCTGATCCATAGCTGCGACTGAAAATGGGGAAGGCGAACGAAAACGAGAGGACAAGACTGATGGACTCGACAGATGATCGTCGAGACGATTCGACAGTTGATTGTCGAGACACCGATAGAAGGGACCCAATTCGTCCCATGATTCCCATTTTGTCCAACTTGAGAGTTTGAGGGATCCGTACACTCCTCATTGCGATTTTTTGGACGCATTTTATGAAATTCTGATGAAATTCTTGAACAACAGTAGAAACGATGAGAAAAAATTTCTGATGAACTAACTAATAAGATTAAATGGAAGCATTCAACTGAATCATAAAAGGCTATTGATGTTGTTGTTGAACTGAATTCGAAACGGCATGAGGAGTTTTCCTTGGAGATGAATTGGATGTTCACTGACAAATCTACCCTGTTACGAAGCAAAAAGATCCAGAATAACTATTTCTTGTTCATTTTTGTTTGTCCTTGCCATGATCCCCACTCCACTTAGCGCCCCTTTTAGGTTCAGATTTCTGGAAACTTCGAGGTCCCAAAGAGTTTCAGCAGGCACACACACAAACTTTGTAGGTCATGAATAAGGGAGAAATTTTGCGATCCCTACGACATTTTTCACAGGAGTTCAAAGTGGTCTGCTGTTGAAGTTTGATTATGCAAAAGCTCGCATTTGTGGAAAACCGTGACTTGATGATTAACGTTGGCAAGAATTTCAGGTGCAGTGAACATTTAACCGATTTATGCCGAAGTCATTTTCAAACATTCACCAGCCAGCACGTAAGTCATCCCGAAATTTACCGAGCTCCATCCAAGTGATGATCCCTTTGCCATGCTAATTCCGAAGGCGCACAATCACTATTATGTGTAACCAATTGAGCTTAGTAGCTTGATGCTTTAATCAGTGTCGCTAGTAAGCTGATTTGTTGCCTTAATTTTGATTGGTGTAGCTTCATGGGAAAACCCAATTCTCCCAAGAGAAACGTCTGACGTAATAAAATGCTTGAATGATAAAATGTTTCTTTGCAATGTGCTCACTGAATGGCTTCACTTTCATTGAACGACCATGCGCTCATTCTCAGGAGTCAGCTACGATCAAAATCCTGTCGTCGGACTGCGCGTCAATTCTTCGGGCCATTTCTGCTTCTGAAGTGGTTCTACGCACTTGCTCTAAGGCCCCTTCCATCTGAATGGGAGATTCAAAAACAAGTTCAGCTTGTAGATATTCTTCCGTCGCCAGAGGACACCGTTCCAACTCCTCACGCTAGAAGGAATCGGCCACGGATCACAATTGAGCTGAAACTCGCCCATCGATAGACTTGCCATGATTTGTTTGTTCAAAATAATGCAATTTTTTGGAGTGTTAGCTGCGCCAGAAATTGCTAGAAGGAGAAAAAACAAAAATAGCTTCTACACGACAGCCGCAACAGAAATTCGATCACCCGGTCGGTTACGGACAAAATTTGGTAACCATATGATTGTTGCTCTGATGTCGCTGCAGCTTGGACTCCCTAATTACTCATCGGAGTTGAGGGAACAACGGCAGACCGAGCAGACGACCCACCAGGGACAAGAGATGGAGGTAAAGAAGAGAACAGAGACGCTCCTGGGATCGTTGATCCCACAATGGATCCAGCTGAGTTGATAGACGCAGCATAACTGAGTCCTGCAAGACTCGTCGAGGCATCAATCGTTGTTGATGGAGGATGAGGCGATGCGACAGCCATTGGTGAGAGAAGCCTGTTAACACTTTGAACTCCGATCATATTCGGCGAGAGTGTTCCTGGGGAATTGCTGACAATGTCGATGGGGCGGAAAAATAAACGAGCCGCGGAACGCACTGTGGTGATTGGGTGGTGATTGAGGGAACAGAAGTGGTGATAAACAAGTTGGAGTGGGGGGAGTGTTGAGAGCACGAGCAGGCGAACTCGGTAAAATCACGAGAGGGTACTGCAGGGGGAACATCTGGACTATTTTTAGGCGTTGATGGAGGATCATCTGAAATTGGAAGAAAAAATAAATAAATAAAATAGAAGGAAAACAAAGATTGAAAAATCATCTGAAAATATGACCAACGTGACGAACCTGTTGCATTGGTTGATGGTACGAGTGACCAGGATGACTGTTGTATTTGGAACAAGGATCCGGGAGAGATGAGAGTTCCATCAGCAAGAAATGGCGTGGATAAGATCATTGGCGAGTTGGGAGGTACTGGATGTAGTGGAGATTGAGGAATTCCGATTGAGGAACTCGATGAATTGTGTCGCAATGTTAATCGCCCTGAAGATTGCTTTCTGGAAGGTTGTTGGATACCTAACGACTGCTGATGTCCCAACGACTGCTGGTGATGTCCCCAACGACTGCTGCTGATGTCCCAACGACTGCTGCTGATGTCCCAACGATTGCCCCAACGCTTGCTGCAAATGTCCAAAGGATTGCTGCTGATGTCTCAGGGATTGCTGCCCCAAAGTTTGCTGTCCAAATGATTGTTGTTGACGTCCCAAGGATTGTTGTTGATGTCCCAAGGACTGTTGTTGATGTCCCAAGGATTGTTGTTGATGTCCCAGGGATTGTTGTTGATGTCCCAAGGATTGTTGTTGATGTCCCAAGGATTGTTGATGATGTGCTTGTTGCTGATGTCCCAAGGATTGTATTGATTGCTGCTGATGTCTTGATGCCTGTTGCTGATGAAACGACTGGCGGCGATGCTGCTGATGTCCCAATGATTGTTGCTGCACCAAAGATTGCTGTCCTAACGACTGTTGGCGGGGATTTTGCCGCTGCTGTTGTGGACGCTGTTGTCCATGATGCTGCTCAATCTGCTGGTAGAGCCTATCATCCTCCCAATGGGACTGCGTGCTGATTGTCGACTCGAGGCGTCGATTTGTAATTGAGACTGTCTCGGAATGATCGCTGCTGTCGAGTCGCTTGACATTCCATCCATTTGATTTTTGATATCCTTCAACAGAGGATCCCAATGTAGATGATCGAGCAGGCGCCGGAGGAATGGCCCCACTAGTGCCTCTTCCAATCAACGTGTCAGAGAACGAATTTAAATAATCTCTTTTATTAGAATTCGTCTCATTAAATCTTTCCTCTCGAAACCTTCGTGGCTGAAACGTTTCAGGTCCAACGGGATCCATCGCTTCAAAAGCATTCAAGAATCCTTGAGCCAAGGAACTGCCACCTTCATGAGTTGGAGTGTTTAGATTGAATCCATGGTCTTCAGCGTAGAAGTTCATTCCATTGTTACTGCGAGGATCGTAACCAATTGAATCCACGTCTTGGCTCATCATCTTCACTTCAGCGCGTTTCTTCTTCGACAGTCGGACACGTTTCTTGGGAGCGTGTGGAAAATGACAGAAAAGACACCGTAATCCATTTTTGCATCCTTTGGCGGGATTATGGAAGAAGACGCAAGCTGCATGACAACAAGATAACAATTACAAGATCATCATTCAAAGAATGTTTTCTACTTATGAAATGGCCTTCCCACGACCTCTCCACCCGACCAATTCTGAATACTCTAGGTCTTTATATTTATATTCTTTATATTCTTTATATGTATATTCTTTATATTTATATTCTTTATATTATTTATATTTATATTCTTTATATTTATATTCATATTTATATTCTTTTTATTTATATTCTGGGTCTTTTTTGTCGAATATTTTCTTCTCTCTCGAGATTCTACTCCTCACCTTTGCATGTATTATCCGAATGGCCTATGGATCCAAAACTCAGAAGTCCGCCGTTTTCATCTCGCGGAATTTGAGTCAAAACGTCCATGGAGAGTTCACTGAGAGGAACTGCGTTTTTCAAATCGGCCTCCGAATCAGCAGGAACCGGAATCCCGACGATTCGACTTAACGCTGCTGCAATTTTCAGCGTCGGATCAGTTGATTGATTCAGCGCCGTCGCCAAGTGCGTGATGAACGAGTGATTCGTATCTTTCATGAATTCCGCAACTTCTGCTGCGAGATCTGATACGCCGGTCGACGCGCGGTTACCGACCGTCATGAGGCGATCTATTTCAAGTCCGTCCAGCGTTGTCAACCGAATCACATCCGTATTCGCCGCGGATTCCCGGAACGCGTTTAGCCATGTCGGGTCGGTGGTATCGGCGTCAACCTCCGCGGACGGCTCCCGAGTGACAGTTTCCGAACAGATTTGTGACGATGTGAGTGATCCTGGAAGTTCCTGAAAAGTTCTCACTGCAAAGGAACGAAGATGGTTTATGGTTTTCGTGATTCTACGCACCTGAAAAAGACGGTCCTTGAATAGGGCTCAATGGATACTCAAGCGACGTCATTCCCTGAAACAACGATAATAAATGCGGCTTCCAATGTCTACATGACGACACAGATTATTGATCTTTATCTATTTGACTATCACATAATTTGATGATCATTTAGATATTTTTCTGATCAATCTCAGAGCGTCATGTCATTCGAAAATTGCGGCCGAGTATTTTCGAATGACATGACGCTCTATGATGCATTTCTTACGGATCGTCTACTTTTGAGGGTCAAATACTCGAGTGGATTTGGTTTTGTTGTA